ATTTTCCCATTAGTCCAAGATTCGGCCCAGTAGACCAAGCTAAGTTCCAGTAGTCCAAGGGTTTGAGGAGTTCTGAACTAATTTTCAATTTTCCCATTAGTCCAATAACACTTGACCTATACTATTCAGGATTTTCAGGATAGCAAAGAGGTCCAAGAATACTTGAGCTACACTATTCGGGATCTGGAGAATAGCGCAAGGCCCAATAATACTTTACCTACGCTATTTGGGGTTTGGAAAATAGCACAGGCACCCAATAATACTTGACACGTACTATTCCGGATTCTGAGGATAGCAAATGTGCCCAATAACACTTGCCCTTCACCATTCCGATTTCCGGCACCCTCCTGCGGCAAAGCTTCAGCTGGGACTGCAGAGAGACCGGATGACAACCGCGGCCTTCGTGCTGCAGGTGTCCGCTCGGCGGCCTGCTTGTCCGCAAGCACAGCAACTCACTGCAGAAAACACGTAATTTGCCGCCTTGGCACCACTACTACTACTACTACTACTACTGCAATTACTTCTTTGATTACTACCACCTGGCTCACACCACAACTAGCATCTGCATTGAGATGAGCTATAGTCTGAACTCCTAGTCTACCTCTTAGTAACCCCTATAACACTCCCCCATTTAATCCCCTCTATAGTCCCCACTTCAGGAGTTTACACCATAGCTCATATAAAGCGAGAGAGCCAGGTCTGTGGCAGGTGTAGATGCCTTCAGGGCTTGATGTGCACGTGGGGCCCCCGCAAGGCTTGCTACACCTGGCAAATTTTCTTTGATGCCATGGCAGAAATCCTGAAGAGGGGTGATATTCACTGTAGCCAATGCAGGCCCTAAACCTCTAGGACCCAACAAATCCTCCAATTTGCAATTTCAAATTTCCACAAAGGATATGGTGTTCAAAGGGGAGCCAGGAACAGTACTTGACCACATTCCACCCTGTGCTTTCCATCCTTACCCCAGTACTTAAGAACTTGGCAGTGGCAGGCCCATATATTGCCGCGCAAAGGAGACGGAAAGCAACCTTGAATTAAAGTAGTCTTATTATTCTCCTTACTATTGTTCTTACAATTGTGATACTGTTATAATTCTTAGTACTAGTACTGTTAATATTGCCACCATTCAAACCAAACTTGACCAGAGCCTACGGCTTGGCAGCATGTAATAGTCCTGCCCAAGTCCCGTCCCTGCATTGATATGTGCCACGTTCTCGAGCCATGTTGCAGTACCCCATCGAGCCCGGGAAGAAATGCTACATGCCGTACGTCAAAATTGGCAGCAGCTGGGTGAAGCTGATGCTGCCTGGAGGCCCCCCGTCCACCGCTTGTTGCAGTAGTCCTCGAGATTCCATACAGGCAAGACCGAGAGATCGTGCTGGCCGCCGTGCGCCAGGAGCCCACGTGCTGTGTACTGATTTTGGCAACATGAAAGTTGTGTGGCATGCTTCATGGTTCACAGTTGGCAAGAGTCACTGTCTGCTAAAGAAGTCAGGACTGTATGGCTCTCCAGTTTGCTTCAGAGGACCTTCGGTCAGATCCGGAAATTATTGTGGCAGTGGCGTGGCTACTGTCATTGTCCTGTTACACGCATACTGCTCTGTACTGTAGAAATTCATGAAACCTGGTTGGGCCTTTGCCTTGAGCCGAGGCATTGGCACAGTCGGGGTCGGCCCTGAGCTTCGTACGCGGCCCCATCAAGGAGAACCCGGAGCTGCTGTCCATGGCCGTTGGTCACTTGTCAGCGCAAACGCTGGGGCAATCCACGGCGGATCAAGAATCATTGGTGCTTATGCAATCATATGCCACAATTCTGCCTTTGTCAGCACCTTTCCGAGGTTACTGATGGATGGCATGGGCATGAATGAGCGACTATGCGCGACTGACATGTCGGCAGGCCATTCCCGGCGCAGGAGGTTGTCATGCGCAGAGCTGAATGAGCATGCCCTAAAATGCTCATGGCTGAAGATGGCTTGTGGCGCGTTTGGTGCCGCTGCGTCTTGCTTGGAGCAGTGACTGCCTTGAACTCCAAACGCTAGGGAGCTGCCTAAGAAGGACTTTAACACGAGATATCGAATCTGTGATGCCACTAAAGCGCTGTGCGCACCATCCTGTCGGACTCCCTGCCTTTTTGCCGCTTCAAGTGAATCACCTGGCACGAGCAGAGCGGAAGTGCATCCATGTTGCAGATCTTCGCTAGGAACTCCCGGTCAGAGCAGTGCAGAGCAGTGGAGGCATGTGCAGGCAAGCGCAGATCAGCCTGGAACTTTGAAAAGCCCAACTATTTCGTGTGGACGCACCGTGAAGCAGCTCCCAGACGTGCTATCCACTGGCACTCCGAAGGTTTTGAGCATAGCAATCCGAGGAGCCACCAGAGAGTTCAAGAACGTGGCGAGCGACACTCCGATCACCATGAGCCTGGCTGCGGCTATTGGCATCCACGTCCACTTTTACAACACATTTCAGAATGCGGTGAACTTTCAGCTCAGACATGCTCGAGATTGCCGAGAACATCCAAAACCACTAAAACCCTAACTTTTCCCACTCACCCGGGGGCTGACCATCACATCCCGAATCTTGGATTGGTGGTCTGGGCGTGCTAAGGCAACAAGGACTTGGGCGGGCAAGAAGCTTCTGATGACCAAGACGCTCCTGCAGTCACTGGAAGCATCGGGCTTTGGAGTGCAAGCCTGGAGATCCCAGGCGCCAAGGCCACAGCTGGAGCTAGAAGAAACAGAGACGGCTGGCGAAGGGTCAGTGGTAAAAGCAGGGTGTCAAGTCGCAAGCATGCTTCATGTGATCAGCACAGACAGCCGTGGAACTGACCAGTACCAAGGCCACGTCGACTACATCATTGGCTCCGCACGTGTAGTGCTCCTGGACATGACCTCAGCCATGAAATTCTCTGCTGTTTCAAGCACCATGACATGACACTAAATGTTGACATTTGCTTTTTCCAGTTCCGCGGCGGATTATGCAACGTAGCCTAGCGAAACGTTGAGCCTCTGAATCCTGGGGTTTGACAGCCTTGTCCTTGTTGTAATCTTTCTCTATCTTATTCAGTCAGGGCCGGCTATAGCCTGTGACCCTGCGTGCTGAAGGCGGGACCAGGCGGAACCCTCCTCTTCCGCCATGCGAGCGATCTGCATGGAAAGGCGGGTAGTGCATAGTGGCAAGAGATTGTGCCACACAGCCGCAGGCGTCGTCATGTGCATGCTTGGCTTGGCATTTGAACAGGCGCTTCCTATTACCTCTCTCTTCCATCACCAGGCCTGGGTTCGTGTGGCCTTTTCATGGTTTCTCCGCTTTACATGAGCTTTACGAGCGAAACATGCGGTATGACTTGTGCAGCGGGATCCTGAACTCGTGGTTACATACAAGTTTCGTCTCGTCAAGCGGACACAAAAATAGATGTTCGGAAATCAAAGTTTTGCAGCGAGGAGGCAGGCGTTCTGCAAAAAGGGCCCGGTTCAGGCACCTAAACCGGAAATGGATGTCAATCCTGACCAGCGATTGGGGCTAGTGCGTGGTCGCATGTTCTGCTTGTGTGTGTTCAAGAATCCTTCTGTTGGAGGAGGTGGGGAGGGCTCGGCTTTGGCGCCAGGCTAGGCAGCACAAAGAGACTGCCCATGCACACCACCACTTCTGAGCCAGCTTGAACCTCAGAAGAATGGTCCTGTGTTCAGTTACGTAGGCATGCTGTGAATCTGTAGTCTAAGGGGTTATATAGGGGATTATATAGGGGACCGGTACAGGAGTTATATGGGGGGATACTGGGAGTTTAGACTACAGCTCATGCACTACCCACTTTCTTGGGTGCGCCTTTTCTCGTCATCGCATCCAGAGCTATGCACCGGCAGCCTGTACTGGCCAACGGTGTTGCAGCCAAGATCAGCCAAGGTTTCCAGCGAAAACCGCTGTCTGTGAGTGGCTTCCAGATTCAAAGCGATTTCTTAGGAATGCTGAGTGCTCCTCAGCTGAGTCCCTGCGAGGAATTGTCCGTATGGAAAAGCTAGTCCGGTGGATTGCAGTTTGTCCTGTGCCTTCTTGCAGTTTGAAATCTCATCCATGGCTACGTCACCCCTGTTTTCCAATCAGATTGCGCATCCCAGCAGAAAAGCTGTATTGGCGCGGCAGCGTGATGCAGACCACGTGTGGAATTCGCCGCAGGATCGCTTTGAGTCGGTGATGTTCAGCCTGTATGTCAACGGCTTTGCATTCTCGACCCTTGACGGTCGAGAGGTGGGCAAAGTAGCACGTTTGCGCAAATATGTTCTGTGTTGGGGATCGAAGCCTCCGAGCGCTGTAAACATAGTCTAGCTACTGGTGGGTCAACTCCGTGCAACGTCCTTGGACTTGCCCTCATAAATCATGTAGACATATGGTGAGAAGATTCTTCATGCAACGCTGTGGCACCCTATCAGATGTGCTTCCTCGCAACTTGAGGGGTAGCAAGCCTCTTCAACGCGTCGTATACCACAGTACTAAAGTCTGAAAGTCTAGAGTATTACAAGGAGGAAAGGCAGACAGCACAGACCTCAGCTGAGAAATGAGTGGAGAATGTGGAGACCAGCGATGGGAACAATTCAGGCCCATAGATGAACAAGGACCATTCAGACTGGTCTGGTCGGAAAGCATGATGGCAGTAATACTCGTAAACAGTAATAATGATAATCATAGGCCCCGAAAACATTGCTCTTCCGTGGGCCGAGCCGAGCATTATTGTTGGGGGCTGCATGGACAAGAGGCCTCAACAACAACACAGAATGGGAGATTATTGGTCAGTTTGACGACAGTCTGCAAGGCTTGCCTGGACCATATGAGCCATAATTAGTCTAAACTCCTTAAAGGCGGGTTATATAGGGGATTGTATAGGGGAGTCTTATAGGGGTTACTAAAGGGGATAGCAGGAGTTTAGACTATGGCTCATATGTTGCTTTTCCGAACTGCCAGGCATCGGTTTCGTTGTCGCCATTCTCGCTGATCCGAAATTGTCGGTTTCAGTGCGGAGCTTGATGTCCAACATTCAAGGATATTCAAATAGCAAACTTTTCTTAATTCCCATATTAGCAATAATCTTAATCATCCTAATAACAGAAATAACAGCAGCAATAGTATCAATGGTAATAATGGTAATGCTAGTATTTCCGGGCGGCTTTAGGGCAGCTTTCTTATTGCAGCATTGCAACTTGCTAACCCTAAACACCTAAACCCTAACACCTAGTTGCAGACAGGGCAACTGCAAAGGTCCGGCGAGTGCTCGAGGCTGAAGAGCTTCAAGGCGCTTCAGATTCAAGTGCATCAACAGGGTATCACATGGGGGCTTCCATAAAATTAGGGTTACCTTTTTGGTGTTCCTTATAATAAGGACTATCGTATTTTGGGGTTAGATCCGGGTCCCCGCCTTTTTAGGAAAGCTCCCACATGCGCGAAAAGTAAAGCAGCATGGCCAGCTCCAGCTCCTTCCTTTACAAGCGTGAGCAGGTATGGGAATATACCCTGAAGGGATTATATAGTTATATTCCCAAATATTCCCGACTACAACCATAATATTAAGGAATATATAAGGATTATATTCCCATATTCCCTATTATCTTATATAACCCTAATATATAACCTTTACTGCTTTAGTAGTTTCCAGAATATTGCCAGGTGTCCTTACAGGAGCCAGATCCCTGCTGCTACTTTGCTGTGCGAAGCACAGAAGAGCGAGAAGCAGAGGAGGACACCTAAGGGTTTATAGGGTTTAGGGTTTAGGGTTTATAGGGTTTAGGGTGTAGGGATCCAATATAGGATTGTATAGGGGATAATGGAAAAGACAATGGAAACGACTATTCAGGGCTAAAGAGACGAGGTTTGGGCTTTAGCATCCCTTCCTCATGCATGTTCGGAGTTTCCTAAAACTCATTTGGTAGTTTCCACGAATAGGGGGACCCCAATACAGATGCCAAAATATTATAATGCTTGTTAAAGGGACCCCCAAAATGGTACCCCCGATTTTTTGGGAAGCCCTTATTTCAGCCAGAACCTGTTGCATGCTGTAGGCAAAGGCTCGAGCTTTCAGAGCAGCAGGCTCTGCCTGCTCTCATTGCAGCAGGAGCGCTCCGAGTGGGTGTTGGGCTTATCTCACACCATCCTGCTCATAATTGATTCGCTTCTGCCACAGCCTGAGAAATTGTGAAGCACTGGCTGACACCCCCTGTGCATAGGAGGCACAAAGCAGATCATAGCACAGCATTGGATCTCAGGGCCACTTGCAAGCACAGGTTGACTTAGTCAAGCGCCTAGCTTCCAGTAGTTTACTGCGACCTCCATGCTGCCATTGCAACAGCAGCTGGCACAAGCTTTCGACCGCAGACGGATGTTGAAACATCACATTCTTTACCATTGCGGTCCTTATAATCGCTATGTTTTTCAGTGCCGCAATTACAATTAGTTATTATTGCTATTGCAGTGACCATCACTGGTACTATTACTGTTTCTAGGACTGTTACTAGTACTGTTACTGTTACGAGTACTCTTATTACTATTGCTATGGTTACTATTACTCTTATTACTCTTATTACTCTTATTATTACGCTCTCAATCCTCCAAGGCCAGTAGCCGAGCTCAGCTGTGATGCCGTGCCCGGCTCCCCTTTGACACAGCGACGGCTGCTAGCCGGGTATCTGATCCATAGGCAGCGTGCAGTTGAAACCTCATATTATTTCTATTTAGTGTCATTGCTACTGTTACTATTCTCACGATTATTACGATATGGCCATTACTATTATTACTGGGGCCCGTTTGCAAGCCAGTCACAAAGCATGACGATGAGTTCAGAGATTGGACAGGGGGTCAGGGTCAGAGGGGTTTTTGACCTGGGTGCCAGATGCATGCGCTGCAATGCTGCACGGGTAGCTTGAGGCTGCTGTGCTCTGCAAGCATAAACGAAAAATCACGTTAGTCATGGGCGACAAATTAGATCTTGCACTGAAAATTCATGCTGCTGCAGTGCCTCTTGACCAGAGGAGTGTTGCGGGCACATATTTCAACTTCGGGCGCTGTGACCATTGTTGAAACCCTCAAGCCTGATCCTGCGCCCCTGCGAAGGGATGATGCCGAGACCGTGTCGGTGGTGTACTGTGAGCTCCAAGCTCCCATCGGGCCAAGAGCCAGCAAACCCTGCAAATTGGACATAAACGGTCAGCATGAATTTGGGTTGTTCAGACAGCAAGGCTTGTGAGGTGTCAATGGCTAGTAGCCAGTCTCATCATCCTCAAAATTGGCATAGCAAGTTCAAACCCAGTTGTTGCTTCGCCATTGTGCTGCTCCGTTATGTACCGTTGTCTTGCCAGGCCTCGTGATGTACGAGAATGAGCTTTGCAACGGCCCCTTCCTTGGCACCACATGGGCCACTATGGCCACTCCATGGCCATTTGATACAGGTGGTGTTTTGCGCGTGGTGTGTACATTTGTTGCCTGACTGGCGGGAGTGGGGCCTTGTCTCTGATGAGTGAATCCTTCTTCTGACAAGCCCCAGGCTCCATCATGGAGATAGCAATTTTTGAAACTTCAGCGCGAGCCTCGTTGATCGATCGATGTCTGCAGACCAGTGTCATCAAATGCGTCTAGCTTGAAGACCCGTCTACAAGTGATCTTGTTCTGAATCTTTTCTTAATGCACATGTAGATGTGTGGTTTGCAATTTGCACAAAGTGCGCATGCGCATGCGCTTAACACACCATCTCCATGGAGGCTAGGACAAGCTGCGCAAGATCGCAGGTTTGCTGTGACGTGGTTGGCATCAACTGCAGCTGCTTTGTGGTGGAGGGCCTGCCACCCGGTCTTCAGACTTGCTTTGAGCCCATTTGAACCATAGAGCAGTTACTGCTTAAAGGGGGTTACATAGGGGTTCTAAAGGGTTTAGAGGGACTACAGTTTAGGGAACATGGTTTATTTCTTAGGGCCTTAACTCCTTTAAGGGGGTTATGTCGGCGGAGTTTAGAGTATAGCTCTTTGACGGGCTCCCCAGGACCGTGGCCAAAGGCAAACCATGGAGGCCAACGCCCATTGATTCTGAAAATGACCTGGGCCTTGTATCAAAATAATTGTGACAAGTGTAAGCCAATGCAGCCCCCTGCTAACCACAAGAAAAGAGTCAAGCTAGCGAGACTGCTTTCTCTAGAAGTCTTGAGAGAAAGAAGCCAACAAAAGCAAGAGATTGAGAGCGGCCAAGGCTATACTGGAACGCTACTGGAACTTATGCCGAAACGCTGCATTGATGATGTTGAGATATCACGTTCAGCAAAGGAATCATAGAATACAAGTAACTGAAATTAAGTTCCTTAAACCACGATATTCCGCCAGTTTCCATGTCATTTTCCATGTTCTTGTCCATTTGATTCTCCATTATATTGCTCATATAACCCCATTACAGTAGTTCCCATTTCATTTTCCATTATCCCAATATATCCCCAATATAAACCCTGTATAACTCCTAAACAGCTCATATGGGGCCCAGGTCACCATTTCGCGTGCCAGAGCTCCTCTGAGCGGAAGCTATGGCTTCGCGCGCTGAGCAATCTCAAGGTGATTGTGCAGAATAGCTGCTAACGTGCTGGCATGCCAATACGTATTGGGTCTATCATAAGTTGTCATGTTGTTCCCCCCCAACACGACAAAATCGGCAGGCAAGCTTCTGAGCCCAAATTGCTAGGGGACAGGAGACAGCATCAAATCCCTGCAGAAGCTTGAACTCTTTGGGCCAGCCTTGATCAGGTGAAGCTTCAGAACAAAGCGCCAGAGCCTTCATCGGAAGAGTCTGATGCCAAGCAAGAGACTCATCAAATCAACCTCCATGAGACAAGCCGGCGTTCAAGGCTGCTGCATTTCAGATCAGCCATCCGTGAGAACATTGTCACTTTGGAGGCCACTCAGGAATCCAGGAGCTCAGGGACTCTGTGATGCTGCATATACCATAATATACTATAATATACCATAATCTACTGTAATATACTGTAATATACCATAATATACTGTAACATACCATAATATACTCTAATATACCACACTGTGCTATAAGATGCTAGAAGATACCAGCTTTGTGCCTTGGCTACGTCTGGGCATCTGGCAACTTACATCCAAACTCACAGATTGATCTCTGTCAATGGCCTCCGCGTCAACTTGCTGCCTTGGAAGTAATGTTGCCAGCATGTGCTCGGCGAAAACAGTTGCAGGATCTCAAGGACCCCACTCCTGAAATGCCTGGACAAGCTCGGGCCCTGGAATTGATGTCCTTAGCTTCATTAGCATCCGGGCAATCGTGGTTCGACGAGACTTCGTACAGAATGAGATGTTTCTGAATGAGTCAGGGCTGCGCTTCTCAGAGACGAGAACGTTACCATGAATTCCAGTGGGTTCATTATAGTATCTTATAGTTTACTAGAGTATTCTAGGGCCTATATTGGGTTTTCCCCTTATTTGGGGAAGCCAATGCAGGTTTTGCCTAAACAAAGGCGGAAGGCTGTTTTGCAGGGCACCTGCCGGCAGCCTGCTACCATAGACTGTTTCATCACTCTTGGATGGGTGTGCTGCTGAGGCCATCGCGGGCGTTTCACTCAAGCCTCAGCCCCAGAAAGTTGAGAAGATCTTTTGGGTAGTCCAACAGACTCGGCATCAGAGTTGCTTGCGGCATCTAGGCTTGTCTGAGTTTTACGATCCGACCTGGCAAAGCTTTGGTCTTTGCAAGCAGGAACGTCATCTTTGTAAAAGTAGTCTTATCAGCAGCTGCACGGTTTCGACACGTTCAAGTACCCATGTGCAGTGTTGCGCGGAATGCTCAGGGGACAAGCTCCAAGCAGGCTGCAACGGTGACGAAGACATGCCGGAGGTAGCCGGGTGCTCCCAGCATGCATGATGGAACTAAGACCATTGCTTACTCTGCTGTCACGTTGCAACTGACATGACCAGCAGGCCGTTGGAGAAGATGAGCTGTCCCAAAAGAAGACTGGCAGCGGCCAGAACCGCACCGACCTGATCATTGGACCATGATAGCATGGACTCCACGCTGAAGCTGTTTGCCTTTTGTATCAATGCACTGAATCTTGCGAGATCAGGAAGGCTCAACACGTATCCGCGTTCAAGGTCAATTTAATCCAGCCACGTGCAGCAAATATCCAGGTTATTGCCAGCATCAAGCCATGTCCTTCCATATGCTGCCGAAATGCACAGAAAAGCAATTCAACAGCATTTTGCGCCAACAGGCCGCAACCAACCCGTGAGTCTCTAACATGAGACTTGCCAGTGCCGAGTTGCGCCGAGCCTGGGAAAGTTCAGGCTCTAAAAACGAGCATCTAGAGCAGCATTCTGTGCAGAAGATGGACAGGGCTTCTAGACACTCTAGGTTTCGAGTGTAAACTTATCCCTCAGCGCAGTCTGCTGCTGCGCATGTCTTTGCAGACACGATAACGCCTTTGCAGCCTGCATCATCTCGCAACGCTGCGCATGCCGGACAAAATGGTGCTCTGCCTGATTTTGTATGTCGAGAACAGAGGGACTCAGCAGACGGGCCAACTGACTTTTGATAGCGCTTGCTAGCAAGGTTACACATCAAGATAACCTGCAATGTGCAAGCCATGAAGAGAGAATCCTTCAATTCTGTGATGACTGTGCGATGCTCATCAGCAGAACTTCCACAACTTCAGCTGACACGATCCACGATATTGCTGTCGGAACCAGCAGCGTCTGCAAAGATTTGGAACGCACAAGTGCGATGGACTCTGAGTTAAAGATTCTGATTTACTTTGAACTTTGGCAGGTGCATGCAAGTACAGTAAGCTTAGCGGGCATAGTCCGAGCAAGGGTGCGCGAACAGGTTAACATCTTGCATCCAGCAGCCATGCACTGGGATCATGCGGCCCCGCTGCAGTGTTGTCAACATACATCAGCCTGCGACAAACCTTCAGCATTGGCATTAAAGATGTTTTTATCACGTAAGCCCCAGAGGGGGGCTAAGTCTTTGATGCGTGCTGCCAAGACGAGGTAAAATTTGCCGCTGAGCTTGCTTCCTCCAAGGACCAGTCCAGCCACGGCAGTTGCTCTGTTCACTCATAATCTGTGGTGGCCAATCAGGTCAGGCTGTGTGGAGGATGCTAATGTGGTAGGTATCGTACCCCGACAAAGCAGAAGTTTGGGCGTCGCCTCAAAAGATACGCTTATGTTATGCCCAGAGGTTGGCAAGGACTACAAGAAGGTAAAGGCGCTACTCGCAACCGTGGCAGCCTAAGCCCAGGGTTCGTCCGGCCACCAGCCCTCAGTCCTTGCAAGCGTTCGGGTGTCAACCAGGATGAGTCGTATGTCGTGTTTTCTACATAGGCTTGCCTTCCAGGTAAATTATGCAGCATTTGTCGATGCAATCTGGGTAACACAGCAACCAGACGCTGGGCGATGTAAGGTTTGGCAATGGCACCATGGCATTAATGTTTAGTCCCGATTAGTGTGGGGTTCGCTAACTGTGCGAAGTTTCACCGAAATTATTCAGCACCCCCACAGTTCGTTTGGGGTCCCTTAATTGTGCGAAGTTGCGCGGCCAAATAAAATGAATCCAATCCCGCCTATTGAATTTTAATTAAAACCCAGGACCCAATCCCGCCTAAACTTAGGATCCAGATTTGTTTGGGGGACCCCCCTCCCCCCCGGCTCTGAATAGGGACCCATTTTTGTTTGGGGGGAGGGGGGGGGTCCCCCTACACTAATCAGGACCCCACATTATATACTACCCTATAATCCCAGTTTCCATTTCATCTTCCATTTTCTTTTCCATTTGGTTCTCCATTATCATGGGGGTAAATCATTGGGGTAATGCAACAGGTGGCCGAGGACAACTACGAGCGGCGTGAGCACTTCGGCCGTATACCCCGCACTATTCCGGTAAGTGCATAGCTCAGTCTTGCCAGCGTCATTTAACTAAACACGTCGACCACTCATCTCTCAGGTTTTCATGAGACGGAAAAGCCAGCAGCCAAGGAAGTGCGGCAGGTGATATTCTTGTGGTTGCTTCACCAGCTAGAGCCCTTCTTGTACGACTGCCATTGGTTGGCTTGGACAGGGAACGTGATTGAGCATGTATCAAGAAAGTATCGAGGTTTCGGCCACCATCCGATGCAGTTCCCGTAATTTCTTTCTCCAGGCCTGGCTTTTGTACTCGAATTGTGATGCCGGTCTCATCCGAGCATTTGGTTTCCCGCCTGCCGCGCCAACATTCATGAACGTCGCGAGGATGAACACAGCGGATGCGCTGCTGGCACTGGGGCGGCAACGTGGGAAGAAGGCAACCACCTTGTGGCTTCGTGTTGGCTGGATGAGACTCTCTCCCCAATATATTATAGTAGTTTCCATTTTCTTTTCCATTATCCCTATATAAACCCTATATAACCCCAATATATTATAGTAGTTTCCATTTTCTTTTCCATTATCCCCAAAATCTCACCTGTTTGCTTGAATCAATCTGGCAACTGTACCTGGTAGCCAAGTCACAGCCAAACTGCTGCTGTGCAGCGAGGTATGCGCCTTGAACTTTGCAAACGGCAAAGACGTAGGCCAGTTGCTCAGACCTTCGGAGCAGTTTCTGTCCCCAGCATGTAGAAAGGAGTTACTTTGCCAACCGAAACTGGCACTTCAGATCTGTCCACAGGCGGGGGCTACAAAAACGGAGCTTCTGCACAGGAGGAGGACCTTTGCAGGCTAGCCTCGTAGCAAACTTCATGACTTCTTGGAAAGAAACCGCAGGCAGTATATAATCCCTATAATCCCTGTAGTTTCCATTTTTCATTATCCCAATATATCCCAATATAACCCCTATATAACTCCTATATTATCGCTATAGAATCCCTAATTTACTCCCAGTTGTCTCAAGAAGTTGACCTTGCAGGCGAATACCGCTGCTTTTCTCTTCCCTCCTCGGTGCAAAAAAAGAGGGACAAAGCCTTAGCAGAACATGAGCCATAGTCTAAACTCCTTAAAGTGGGTTATATAGGGGATTGTATAGGGGACTACTATAGGGCTTATTAAGGGGGATACTAGGAGTTTAGACTATAGCTCACATGTGCAGATGAAATTGAGCAAGGGTATGGCTCTTGACTCAACATCCTTTTTTGCATTTCATCTTGGAAGTTCGCTAGAGCGCCGGCGCACCATACTGCGGTGCTTACACACTCCATGTACACTTTCTTCATTCGTGAAGCGTCAGATGAAGGGTGAGATGTCAGCTGATGCCCGGCCATCTTTTACGCAAGCAAGCAGTGAGCGGAAGCGAAGTGAATTTGAATGATACGGCTCTTCGAGCCTACCTTCCTCTATCTGATACATGTTGTGTTGCGGCCTGCAAGCCGAGGGCACTACCCCTTTGGTCCGCCAACTTGTACATCGGCAGACCAACCAGAGTCAGCCTGCGTGATTTCAGCTGTGAAGAAGCCCGTGTGTTCCAAGTTGTTGGAGTACGACCTACAATGACCTACGCGCTTCCGCCAGGAAGTATCGCGATGTGCTTTACACCTCGAACCTTCTTGTGGGAAGGGCTGGTCCTGAAGAGGGGCCGGGTCCTCAAATAACGGGCGGCTTCCAGTACAAAAAGCCTCTGGAACCGCAGTTGCAGACTTGTTAGGGCACGTGAAGGAAGTTGCAGCATCGCTAAGCCGCACTTTGCTCTCGCTGCGGGCCGGAGGTTCCGGATTTTGAAGCGCGACGAGCAGGTCACGGCGCTGGACTCCAAGACTTAGTTTTCTTGCTGTTGCGCGTGCATTGGTAGGCAGCGCTTGAGTAGGGGAGCGCATTTCCGTTCATCATCGTCAGGTCCCTGATCGCTGCTGCAGCGCCCAACATCAACTTTGACAAAGATGTCGCTCAGAGCAAACAGCTCTTGGGTTACAGCATGGCGTTGAGCTTGCAGCCATATTTGTCTGCGGCATGTGGATTCTGAAGTTCTAAATCGCTGCAGAGGGCCACAGATTGAAGAAATTCCCAGGGTGATTTCACTTTTTGGGTAATAACACCGAGCTCTCCCATAGCTTACACGTAGAGATGATGTTGAAGACACTGTCACGGCAGCGCTATGAAGGCTTGGGCCAGTCTGCAAGCTCCTATTTGACCTACAGTCTAGGACCCTTAAAGGGGTTATATAGGGGACTATCATAGGGGTTATTATGGGGATACTAGAGTTTAGACTATGGCTCATTTGGAAGACTTCTTCCGAAGCAAGAGTGTTCTCAGGAGGTTGCTGTCTGCTCGTTTCCAATGTTCTTACTATTCTTTATTATTACTATTAGTATTGCTAGTAGTATTCGATTCCTGGTCAGTTCTGTGCTCCAAGGTCAACGATGAGCGATTGATCTACCAGACGATGGTGACAATCTTTGCCGCGCCGCACCTGGTTGAACCAGGCCCGATTGCAGCCCTTGATGTAGCAAGCGAGGGCCTCAAGCATGCGTCCAACCAAACGATTTACTAATAAAAATGATACTAGTAGGACTACTACTAATAATAGATAGTAATAATAGTAATAATAGTAATAACAGTAACAAGAGTAATAACAGCAATAACAGCAATAACAGTAATAACAGTAATAATAGTACGAGAAAAGAGGCACTTCCTGCCTGAACATGGTTGTTCATTCAGATGAAAGGTGAAACATCTTTCTGTAGCCAACCCGAGAAATCCTGAGAAGAAAGCGGACTGGACACAATTTCGACCATTCAAACGCGGCACCGAATTGGGGGTAGGTCTCTGATGGGCCGGCGTGAGCAAAAAGCTATGCAACGGCAGCGTCAGCCTGCGTCAGCAAGTCAACTCCGGAAAATGCTAGCCGCTAGCCGCTGGCCTGGGGGGCTTCAAGCTTGTGAAGGCATTGGTGAAGTTTCAACGCGACGCGAGTCGTAGGTTTGCCAACATGTCACGGAACGATTATCAAGTGCTGCGCAAAGGGCAACTGCAGATCCGACATCAACTCCTCGAGCTGCAATATAACCCCATGTAACCCTAATATAATCCCAAGATAACCCTAATATAATCCCAACATAACCCTAATATAATCCCAGCTGTAAAGTGCATTGATTGGCAACAGAGATTTAAGATCGATCCGCAGAATCTTCGTTTGACTGGTTTTCTTTGTGAAGTCGAGACTGCCAGGCATCAACACCTTGATTCTGGGAGCTTGGGGATGTGGAGCTTTTGGTCCAGCTCTTACAGTTGCAGCATAACTTGTCCAGGAGCCAAAGTTTGCTTGAGCGCGCTTCTTATCAAGACCGTTGGTGCTGCTGCAGAGATGGCCGTGAATCAAAAACACGGGGTTTGCAGCGAATAGGTTTGTAACAGAATCTCCTGGCTTGCGACAAGCACCTTTGCGACAAGGTTCTTTCGTAGGGCATACCTGCGCCAAGCATTCGCGACAAAGGTATGTAACAACAGACCGCAACAAAGGGGTATGTTACAGGGGGTGGGGGGGGACCCGCGACAAAACGGGGTTTTGATTCACAGCCCAGATCTTGTATGACAGTCGTGTTGGCATCGCTGAAAAGCGTGCAAACGCCGAAGATGCAGGCAACGCTTGAAGACAGAATCGAGAGCACATATGAGGACACGAGTCGGGATCACGGTTGCAGGTTGAGGGTGTAGGCGCTACAGTAAAGATCAGTAAAGTAAAAAGCCTACATCCCCTTCTCGCGGCCCTCCAGTTCAGACTCCATCCCATGTGTTCCCTTAAGTTCTCTGGCACAAGCTTATCAGCGTTTTCGAAATGGCGCAACTACTCCTGACACATAATGCTAACCCACTGATAATCCGATGTGCAGGCTTCTAGATCAAGCAACTAGGGCCTGTTGAAGGGCACTGTCAACTAGTCCTAAAGCAGAGCGCCTGTCATGCGGCCCGACAGAGGCGGAGATCCGTTCAAGATTGCCAGCCTTTTCGTGCAAGCGCTCCTTAGCAGAACTAGTTGTGCAGCAGACGGGTAACTTCAAACAATGACAGCTCTTTGTATAATTGTACGACTTCCTGGGCAGATCCGGCTGGACAGACAAGGCTATTGAAAGATGGCTACGGACAGTGGAGCCTGCTCACTTGCCAGTTGCACGGACATTTGCTGCCCGACCATTTTAAGTCACTGCTGTTCCAGCTAATAACGCGCGTTGTGTATCGCTGCTTGCAGCGGCAGCTGGCAATCTTAGCACGAAGCAGAGAGCTTGCAGTCACATTGCAATTAGCTGTAATTTGCCCGTCTTCTGCTGGACCTTGCCTGTTCCCAACGTAGCATGTTGCTACCATGTGCTTGCAGCCAAAGAAGAAACATATTGGGTGTAAATCTAAGAACGCTCCACCCTCTCACCGCGACCGCCACATGGCAAAGAAGCTCTTCTCCCAATGTTAAAAGGGATGTGCATGGCAAAGCTGGTGTTCTGATGCTGCACAACTGTTGGATTCACGGCAGGGGCTACAAGGAGGTCCATTTCGCCATTCCCCAGCTCAGCCCGGAAGATGCAAACTATGCGTCACGCTCAGTCCCTCGTCATCCAGTCTCAGCACTCGCTTTTGTGGACTTGCTTGCTGACCAACTCCAGCGGGTTTCTAATCTCAGCTGTAGTTTTCTGAAAAACTGGCTCTCCAGCATGAGGGCATCAGGAAGATAGTTGATCACAGGCGCAGGGTTTCAGCGAAGCTGATCCCGCTCACCCAGAGGTGTGGCTGCTGGCCTTCAGTTCTTGAGGTGTGCTGTCACAGTTTGTGCTCAAATCTTGTTTGTGCGACCCGAAGAAAGTGGCTTTCTTGCAGTTGGCAAAGAAGCCATTGGGGAGCCAGCCATGGAACAGGCACCACGCTTTGCCGCACTGAGCAGCATGCCACACCCCTGCAAACCGGAAGCTGCAGGAAGCCTTGGAGATGATGAACTGGCCTGGCTGATCACTTCCCAAGATCTCGGCGTTCACAGCGCAAACAGCCAGATACGTGCAGCCGAATCTAGGCACTCTTTCATGTCGACGACTTATCCAGCCGACGTCTCGGCAGCAAGTTCTTGTCCTCCAAACCGCTTGCTCCACGACGCTCATGCTATCCATGTCAAGCAGCTACTCCAGGAGACTTTCACGCAACCTTCTGCACAACTGGCCAGCATTGCAAGTGCGGTAGCAAGCTCCAGAAAACATGTTGTTCAATAAACTAAGCGCTGGGCTGGAGTCCAACTCAACGTAAGACGAGGATTAAGTAGGAAGTATAAAGCAAGAGCTGATTCTTGAATGTACTCGCGTGCCTCCGCAGCTTGCGCGCCATTAGCGCTAAGATCACATGCTCTCATGTGTTGCATCAGTTGGAGGGGACCCAGCTTGACAAAGGCTTTCTTTGCTAAGAGCGTGTGGGATTGTCAGAATGCCCACGCCTTCTTCTCTTGTAGGTACCGGGGCTTATCCTTAGCAACCCTGCCATTCCAGCTGTGCAAGCAGTCACGCTGGAGAGGAGATCTCAATGGATCCGGACAAGCTCACTGCAGAAGTGGCCTTTCGTCGCAAGCACGCCTTCCAGCATGAGACGCCAAGCCAAGCCCTCAAGTCCTTCGTGCGCAGTCTCTGGTGATCATCCGGGCCAGCCAGAGTGAGAGCAAACAGAGGAGCGGTTCGATTCTTAAGCTGCTATGTCAGCAAGAAGCTGCTCAAATTTCCACTTTCTTTCCTCTTGAACTGTTGCCGTGCAGCGTCTCGAGCCTGGAGGGCTTGAGGTATTTGAGTGTGCTGCAGCTCAGGCGATTCAGGTGTCCTCCAAGCGAGGTCCCCCTAATTTCTGTAGTTGCGGGTCGACTTCAGTCAACAGTCTGCTTGTCATCCCGCAACGCTGATCAATTACACGCGGCAAGGCTTGACTTGCTTGCCTTGCTTTTTTTCGTTCCCCAAGTGAGCCATAACCTAAACTCTTTAAAGGGGGTTGTATAGAGGATTATATAGGGGATAGTAAGGTCGATAGTAGGAGTTTAGACTATATGGCTCAAGTGGCATTTTGGCCGGGGAGGGTCCGGTCTGCAGACCCCACAAAGTCTTTGCTGGAAGGGCAGCTGGGGTTGTATAATAACCCCGCTTGTCTACGTTATGTAAGGAGTGTCTTGAGATAGCGCTTGACCTGTAAAACGATAAGGAGTAAAAAAAAAAACCGATAAGGTTCAG